ATGTTGTTTGTTTATTAGATTCAAAATATTTAAAAGTCTTAGAAGAATTAATAAATAAAGCCCCCAGTGACTCAGCAGTAAGTCTTAAGGCTTATAACGCTAAAAACTACGTTTGGTTAACAGTGGTGGGCACAGCACAATAGTCTATTCTGTAGCAATTAATAGCTGACATATCCGTTTAACGCACGTGGGGTGGAGACATGGGAGCCTCCTATGTTTTTCTCTGAGCGTCCTAAGAATACATGCCAGGTTTGGTGACAATCAGTCCAGCGTTTCGACAGTTTTAAGCAAACATACACACACTTTTGTCAAGTAATGGTTTAGATTAATGCTAACCTTGTTTTAAAAATGAAAATGAAAGTTAAACCGTTTTACCACGTAGCAATGATTATAAAAACGAATGATTTATCAATATCACGTTGAAAAACAATTGTTGGATACTGTGCTGACATCTGTTGGTTATTTTGATATTAATATTGTATCTCTTTTATGTAATTTCTTTTATTCTATTAAATTAATTTTACAAAATTCAGATATATAAACTTAATAAGAAATTCACACGAAATGTTAATTTTTATATATATATCTAATATATGTTAATCAAAATAACACCACAAAAAAATTCAGTTAAATTCAAAATATTATAATATTTTTTTTTATCTAATAACGTCATCCAGTTTTGTTTTTTTGTAATTTAGTTTGATTCAGGGGATGGAACAAAAGGTCCGTTGTTGTTCTTTGATGTTATACTTATTGTTAGAAAACAACAACATTGAATCCTTGTATTGCTAGTAGCTGATATTCATTCTGGAATGTTACGGGATGACTACGGGCTTAGCTCACTCTTGGTTGTAGTAGTTATCGAAAGATGGCGCTACCGACAACACTTCTCCCAGATGAGCTTGTTTGCCTAGCTCCCTCTTGGTTGTAGTAGTTATCAAAAGATGGCGCCACCGCTTGGTCTGTAGCCACCGACAACACTTCTCCCAGATGAGCTTGTTTGCCTAGCTCCCTCTTGGTTGTAGTAGTTATCGAAAGATGGCGCCAGCGCTTGTTCTGCAGTCACCAACAATCTCTCAGATGAGCTTGTTTTGTTCGTTAAAAGTAACAATAATTTATGTCTTTATTTTATTTTACTACAAAATTTCAGAAGATGGTCAGGATTACTGCCAATAATTATTTTCTCAATATATCATAGTTTTGCTGACGTTTTCTACCATACTTTATGATAAAAATTGAGTTTCTGATGTTTGCGCAAATCTATTCAAAGGCCATCTGCGCCAGTTGTCACTAATTTTGAGGGGAAGGCTGCTAGTGACTAGCACACATAGCAAGCTCTTCGGCTACCCTTGTCTGACCGAACAGTGGGCCTTGACCATCACTGTTATAACGAACCCCCGTCCCAAAATGCGGCAACGGGATGCGAACGTAGACCTTCAAATTAATTGTCTGGTGGTCAGGGAGTTGGACTCGCAGTCTGCGGGTCGCGGGTTCGAATCCCTGTCATCGAACATGCTCGCCCTTTCAGCCATGGTGATATTATAAGTGAGGGTCAATCCAACTATTCATTGGTAAAGAGGAGCCCAAGACTTGGCGGTGGGTGTTGTTGACTAGCTGCTGTCTCTCTAGTCTAGCACTTCAGAATTAGAGACGATAGAGTTTGTATCCCCAGTTTTAAAGTAGTTATGGTTAGTTTGTATCCCCGGTTTTAAAGTAGTTATGGTTAGTTTGTATCCCCAGTTTTAAAGTAGTTATGGTTAGTTTGTATCCCCGGTTTTAAAGTAGTTATGGTTAGTTTGTATCCCCAGTTTTAAAGTAGTTATGGTTAGTTTGTATCCCCTGTGTGCCTTGAAAAAATCAAAATAGAAAACCATGATCGATATCACACTGAAACGTGGAAAATTCCCGCGCCTATGGGCCCGAGCCACGAATATTTTAAGCACATAGCGACGCCTCTGTTTGCGCGAAATCCAACAGTTATTTGGTATTACCTTTTAGGTACTGCTGTCATAATTCAGAGTTAAAACGAAGCCTTACTAGGTCTCAGTTTTTTTGTTTTTTATCTCTTTCTTTATTTTCTTTTTTTTTAAACATAGCCCAATGTAGCCAAGCGGTTAGCCACTGAACCTTTAAATTGAAAGTTTGTTTGTTTGTTTTCGAATTTCGCGCAAACCTACTCGAGGTAACCATAACTACTTTAAAACTGGGGATACAAACTAACCATAACTACTTTAAAACTGGGGATACAAACTAACCATAACTACTTTAAAACTGGGGATACAAACTAACCATTACTACTTTAAAACCGGGGATAGAAACTAATCATAACTATATTAAAACCGGGGATACAAACTAACCATAACTACTTTAAAACTGGGGATACAAACTAACCATAACTACTTTAAAACTGGGGATACAAACTAACTATAACTACTTTAAAAGTGGTGATACAAACTAACCATAACTACTTTAAAACCGGGGATACAAACTAACCATAACTACTTTAAAACCGGGGATACAAACTATCCATGAACTTAATATTTGTCAAGCGCTGATATAATGCTGGAATGACTAATAAATGCCGGTGCACACGTGTCAGGCCAGGGAATTATTGATTTAAATATATAGATTGGGTGTTGATGTGGCGTTTTTGAGGATTCTGATAAATAGTGTTAAACGTTAATGCGCAAATCCAATAAATATCGTAGCACACCTTCCTCCAATCGTACTGTTAAAATGTCAGAGATAAGTTTTAAAACATCCCCGTAGTTTGTTGTCAAGTTCTCGTCCACTGTGGATGTGTAACTTACCTGATGTGTCGCTAGTAATTTGAAAGTTCGAGGTTTGTGGGTTCCTTTTGTGTGTGTGTGTGTTATTTTACAGTTTTTTTATCGCCACGAGAAACTGGAAAAATTATGTCAGATAATCCACCTATATCAAACAGCTTCAATAACTCTGTCTGTACCCAACAAGAATTTTCTAGAAATCTATTATGGAGCACATTGTTTTAACACTGTTTCTCTCAGATGTAATAAACATTGTAAACTTTTCTAGTCTAGGTTAGCTGCATGGAACACATTGTTTTAACACTGTTTCTATCAGATGTAATAAACAATGTAAACTTTTCTAGTCTAGGTTAGCTGCATGGAACACATTGTTTTAACGCTGCATATTGTTAAGGTAGAATAAAAATATCGAACTTTTAAAACAATTGTATATATTGCTTCAGATTTTCAAATTTAAAAGTACTATTTTTTTTCAAATTTTAGTTCTTTATGTAGTTCAAATAAAAAAAAAAAGGATTTTCTTACCTGACCTTGACCATGAAATCTCACTTCTGAACAATGAGTGAGAATTTTGGATCACTGATATATTTAGTCGGTTGTCATGGTGATTGATCAACAAACTATGTAATAAGCAGATTTCAAACCACCTGTATAAACTATCCAATAAGAAGACAAACTTAAAATGTTGGGCGGAGTTGACTTGTTTGGTTCAGGTGTTTTATATATATACTTGCACAAGTGTGCGAGATGAATCATACATATTCAGTTGGATATAAAACCCGAGAATACCTCGTTATATCAGCCTTATAAATACATATTCAGTTGGATATAAAACCCGAGAATATCTCGTTATATCAGCCTTTTAAACTCTTCATGGCGGTTCCATAGTTCGAATGTTTCTCATATATATTATTATCAGCTTTATTATTTTCGATATATTTTTATACATTATTTGTTTTTTCAAGTATGTGTGCTACGTGTATTTTTTTTCTACACTTCCCCTGTATATGTGCCCTAAATATTCTGGGATTTTATCTTCCTCGTGCTTTACAAACAACAGTCTGTAACCTGTCAATTTCAAAGACTTTAAAAAACAGTTTTTTTTTAATTCACAAACGAACATGAAATATACATCGTATATAAATTATAAATTAAAACGAATGACTTCATCAGTCTTAGAAGGCAACAGAGTCAGTTATTAAAGATAATACATTTGTCATAAAATATAGTGTTAGCTGATGTAGAACTACAAGTGTTTTTTATTAACTAATAACTGATTATTATTTACTACAACTGTTCTTTATTATAAACAACCATGTGTTATGAAATAGTTGTAGTAAATAATAATCAGTTATTAGTTAATGAAAAATATTGTAGTAAATAATAATCAGTTATTAGTTAATGAAAAATATTGTAGTAAATAATAATCAGTTATTAGTTAATAAAAAACAGTTGAAATAATAATCAGTAGTAGTTAATAAAAAACAGTTGTAGTAAATGATAATCAATATTAGTTAACAGAGGGCTGCATATTTTTCACAGCACGTGATCGCTGTTAATCTATCAAACACTATGCATTTGACGTAACAGATAACGAGGGTTAGCAAGTCAATTTCTAGAGATCTGATAATCAGTCTTAGATGATCAAGGACTTTAAAATGATGATAATTGACATAAAAGTTTTCGTCTGCTGTGTAGTTATTTTTTTTCCATATTAATTTAAAACTTTTATAAAGTTACTTAAGTAAAATGAAACATTGTGACAAGGGTGGTGGAATATATCTTATTGGAATTTACCTGTTAGTGTTACGAGATTGTATTTTCAAGAGTTATGTAAATTTAATTAAGCCATTACTGAGTGGATACTTCCATTAATTATAAATTTGCTAGTTTTAAAATGGATGATATTTTGCTTTGTTTTACCGTTCCTTTGCAAGGAAGGCGTTACAAGTTAATGACATTTTCTTGAAGAAAAAATACGTAAAATGTCAAATGAAGAACTAGTTTTTATCAATTTGTTTACACTATCTAATTCTCATATGGACTTCCGTCTTGTTGGTCTATTAAACATCCAGAACTAGTGGGCAAACTCTTGCCAACTCGCGAAGGAAAACAGGATAAAACCGGTTAAAAGAATTTAGCTAACTACATCTCGGCCTGGAGCTGGCCCTAACCGTGACCGATTTTCGTAAGCTATATAGTTCATCGACACCCTTGGATACTGAACGTTTGGTAAGTTCTTATAGCTACACTTTCAGGTCAATATTAGTTTAAATATTAGGATAAATTTTATGCACTTGGCTTTAGGCTAGGTGATCCCACAGTACGTTTTTACTTTAGGCTTATTATTCCAACACTAATTACACTTATAAGGTTTCATGGCGTCCCCCCTCACGATCCCCTTGTACACATGGCACTAAAATCGTAATGGGCAGACAGTAACCGAACTATTCTATCTGGATAAATGCATTTTGGCTTTTATAACTCCTTCTGTTTCGAGAAATCAAGCGTGACGTGACACACACTGCCATTGATATATAGGCTAGATTCCTGATTTTTTATTTTTGTGTTACCAGAACGTCCCAACCTTATAAAAAAGTCCACTTTACTTCTTTTTTAATATTATTTTTTTCAGCTGACCAAATCTGAAAATATTTTCTTATAGTGAATTTAATTTTGGACAAACATACCCGATTGGGCGACACGTAACGGAAGTTTTCTAAACTTTCATTCAATCTAAGGGATTAAAAAGGTATCTTATCGAAAACAAATTGTTGTCAAGGTCAAGTGCTATATTAGGGTTGTTGCTATACGAAAGGATGGTCAGTTGATCTTTATGTAAAGTGTGTTCTATAACGTTTAATGCTTGTAATATTGATTTGAAAAGTAGTAACAAAGTTGGCACGACAAACAAAAGGTTTAAGTAAATACAAACACGTAACCACTGAAACGAAATATCTCCGTAACGTGTACTTATTTTGAAACTGGATTATGATACCAAAAGTAGGTAACACGTGACCCGGTGTAAAAAAAATAAAACTATAGTGTTGGTTCTGATAACAAATTCATCTTTTGTGCCACACTTTTATCATTACTTTTGGTGATAGGTAGAATAAAGTAGTGTAAGAAGTATTTCTAATTAAACTACATTTGGTAATATGTGTGTATATATATATAGAGTTTGTACTAACGTTCCGCTGTGTAGAATTTACGTCAAAGGAGGTAGTAGCGTGAGCCCACGTGTTTTCGTGAGGTGTTTTTGTCACAAATTGTATTTTCGTTGTGATGATGAAACGCGCTGCCTCAACACTTAATTTCTTTCTTCCACATTTTGTTATTTTTTAAAAGTATATTTGAATATGGGTGGTTAAACTAATATATTATTATTGTTTTCTTTTCATATCAGGTCAGATAGGAACCCCGAAAACCCTCGAACGTCAGTCGAGTTCTATACCTACCGAATTAAAGGGTCAATCACCTAGCTTTTGATAGTAAGGCACTTTTTAACTATTCCGAAGTACCACAGAAATTATTATATTTGTAATGCTACAACCAGGTAAATAAGAGTTAAAAAAAGATAAAAAAAAATAAAGTGTGAATTATTCTTAAAGAAAGTAAGGGGATATTTTATGATGACATACGTGGGGAGTTTTATACGACCGTGAATTATTATTATTTTTTATTTATGTGATCATTTAGTTTAGATCTCGCTTAGTTTTGCTGTAGGAATAAATATATTATTTGTTATTTGTTAATACAGTAAAAAAACGCAATTCACAAAAACTACGGAGCTGTTCGTGTAAAACTCATATTGAAAATAATTTTATGAACAACATCAAAAATCTTAAAACTCATTGTTTGCAGAATAGTCTTTTCGTGACATGTAAAACAGTTGACAGCTAAATTTACATATGTAGTATATAAGTGAAACGTTTCGAAAAGGCTAACATCAAAAAATCTAAACCTTGAACAAGTGTTCATTCATTCTAGGTCAACCAATCTTTGGTGTAGCTGATTGGTTGAGCGCGTAGGCCTGTTCTCTGGGCTGTGCAGGATTTTATCGGAATAAGTACACAAACCTTGGAGACATTCTCGGAAGTGGTGGTGAGATTTTATTAAGCTTATTCCAATCCTACCTTTTTCTTTTTGTACATTATAGTCGTGGTACAATTCTATGATATAATGATTATTTGAATTATAATAATTTAAACTGTTCTCGGATTCTAAACTTGCCTTTTAGATTGAAATTAAGGGCGCGGTATTGAGATTAAATTGAAAAATCGAATTTCTGTTTATTACGCAAGAAAGCCGAACTAACTAAATCAAGTAATATTTTTTGCTTATGTTAGTAAACAAGCGTAAATCATTAACTTTTTGTGGATGCATTTTATTTTTTAGCTCCCCCCCCCCCCAGTGGCACAGCGGCATGTCTGC